CCCATTAACTCAGGCAGCTGGTGAGGCTGGAGGTGGCAGAAGGATGCCCAGGGGACAGAAAACAAGTTTCATCTGCCCTCCTAGGGCTCCTCCTGATACAGTCACCATGATCCAATCGCAGACTCCACCCTAGAAACTTAATCCAACCCAGTCACTTCTTACAGGCCCGCCTGCAGACACCACGAGTGGAGCAAGCCGCCACACCAATCTACCAGCCGTTAGTCCACCAGCTGCCACCCTAAAACTTGGGGGTTTAAGTATCTGCGTGAGATTGGAAGCCAAATCCTGTTCAGCCAGTAACAGCAGCCTTTCTCCTTGTCAACCACTCCTTCCTCCAGAGACAGGCTCATGCCCCCCATGGTCCCAGTTCCTGATGCCCGCACACCACCCAGTCAACAGGTCTCAGTAATCCAGCACTCATCCCTGCTGTTCCCACCACCGTGCTGGGGCAGCCACCAGCTTCCAGCCTCCCGCCCACCTTCACTCCTCTTTCAAAATGATCTGACCCGAAACTAAGGTCTTGCTCTCCAGCTCAACTCCTTTCGTGATGTCTCATCTCGCCAAGGCCATTCTGACCCATCCTCCCAGCACACCCTTTCGGTGCCTTGCACAAGCCACAATCCTGCTCACATCTGTGGTTTCGAGTGCAATGAGGCATGGTCTCTGAGTTTCAACCTGGAGACACTCCAGTCCAAACAAATGAAGATTTACCAAACATTTCTCTTTCGTCCTTTTGATTGAGAACCATGTTTCACTTTGCAGGGTTGCCAGTCAGGCCCTTGCCACTGCTAAACAAGGGCAGAAACCTCACGGGATTCTCCTCCACCCGTGGCTTTGGGCTTGTCCCTGGCACAGCATGGGTTGTCTCTCTGGATGACATTTCCCTTCACATGTGAACCCTCTGCTAACTCTCTGCAGAACAAGACAGAGCCCATCACCCTGGACACTGGTAGACTAATGTGCCGAGTCGGCAGGAATCATGGCCAGAAATGAAAGCCTTAGAGAGTGGGCCCAGGTTCATGTGTTGGAAGTCTGGGTGAACTCAGCCAAAGCACGCAAAGAGAAGCAAGCAGGCAGGGCTGCACTGTGTCTGCCCAGTGCGATTCTCTCATCTTCACATGGACTTTCCTCCCAATAGGGAAAATAACGACACGGCAGCCGGGAAAGTCTGGATGGCTTCCAGCCAGCATGGTGGCTACTGTGGTTGTCCAGGGCCTTCTCCTTGGCCCCTAAACCCAAACCTTTCAATTCCACTCAAATGGCTAAGGGCAGGGTGTCGGTCTGAAACCCCTCCTCTACAGGTGATGTGAACAACCAATATGGAATTGAAGGCACCCAGGAGGTATGAACACAGCCTTAAGGTTTTCTTTCCACACACAGTACCACTAGGACAAGCGGCTGGTAAAACTTTTGAAAGGTAACTTCCTGAGCTATATCCCCTTCTGAATTAGGGCATTTATAAGATACAATTCACACGGTGGTTATTCATAGAAATAACCCAAAGCAGAGAAGCTGTGGACACGTCAGGGCTTTCCCTGACAGATGGAAAGCTTGTTTATAGAAGTGACACCAGGAATCGGGAAACAGAATCCAGGAGACAAAATTCTGTGCTTGCTCCACTTTTAGCATCTTGCCTTTGTCAACTCATTTAATCTTCCTAACAGTCCTTGAAGCAGCTGCCATTGCTCTTTCTTTTTCTCAGCTGGAGAAACACTGGCGTGGAGAGACCTTTGCCCAAGCCGGCGCTGGAGCTGAGACTGGAATTCAGACCGCGCAGCCCCAGCGTCGGCTTCCTAAGGCCCTGCCATGCTTTCTGACAGGGTCACGTCTCAGCTGTTACACAGCTCACAGCGCTTGCAGGAATGTGGAGAAATCGCTGTGCTATCATGTCTAGTTAGGAAAAGAAACATGACCTCCAAATCATAGACAGAAAGGGGAAAAAAGGCAACACCAATCTCTAGGCTTAGAAACACAGACTCAGAGGTTTAGACACCCATCAGTTCTAGCATTGGTTAGGACGCTGTGGCCTCTCTCTGGTAGGCTACTTCTGTCTGGCCAGGACACAGGGTGACAATGTGATTTTTTCAAAAACATATTTTAGGGGCTGGCGCTGTGGCACAGAGGGTTAATGCCCTGGCCTGAAGCGCCAGCATTCCATATGGATGCCAGTTCGTGACCCGGCTGCTCCACTTCCCATCCAGCTCTCTGCTGTGGCCGGGGAAAGCAGTAGAAGATGGCCCAAGTCCTTGGGCCCCTGCACCCATGTGGGAGACCCAGAGGAAGCTCCTGGCTCCTGGCTTTGGATCAGCACAGCTCTGGCTGTTGTGGTCAACTGGGGAGTGAGCCATCGGATAGAAGACTTCTCTCTCTCTCTGCCTCTCCTCTCTCTGTGTAACTATGACTTTCAAATAAATAAATGAAATCTTTTTAAAAAACATATTTTAGTTTTTCTAATAACCTCTAAAATTGGTTAAATATATTTTTTTTGACAGGCAGAGTGGACAGTGAGAGAGAGAGACAGAGAGAAAGGTCTTCCTTTTCCGTTGGTTCACCCTCCAATGGCTGCTGCGGCCAGCGCGCAACGCTGATCCGAAGCCAGGAGCCAGTGCCTCTCCTGGTCTCCCATTCAGGTGCAGGGCCCAAGGACTTGGGCCATCCTCCACTGCACTGTAGGGCCACCGCAGAGAGCTGGCCTGGAAGGGGGGCAACCGGGACAGAATCCGGCACCCCGACCGGGACTAGAACCCGGTGTGCCGGCGCCGCAAGGCGGAGGATTAGCCTAGTGAGCCGCGGCGCCGGCCTCCCCCCTCTGCTTTATTTTAATTAACTAATTAATTAGAGAGGCAGCCAGACATAGAGAGAGAGAGTGTGTGTGTGCACTCTCCTCTGTTGTTTCACTCCCCAAATGCCCACAATGACTGGGGCTGCGGTAGGGCAAAGCCGGGAGCCGAGAACTCAACCTGGGTCTTCGCACTGGGTGTCAGAAACCCAAGTACTTGAGCCAGCACCACTGCCTCCCAGGGGGTGCATTAGCAGGAAGCTGGAGTCAGGGGCGGAGCCAGGCAGTGAGCCCAGGCCCTCTGATGCGGGGTATGGAGCTCTGACCCTGTCTTAACCTCTAGGCCAAATACCTTTGCCTGCTTGCTCTCTGCTCTTCCTCCTTCCAGGCCGGCACGTTCTGACCTCAGGAAGGCGGTTGTCTGCACACCAGCCTTCCGGTCCCCCGAATCCATGGCTGGCTGGCTTGGTGGATCCAGCCAAGCCTGCTTCCTGTCAGGCCCGATTTTCAGAGTGGAGCAGCAGCCCTGTTGCCTTAAGAGTGGGGTCGTGCCCTCTGTTGGTCCCCAGGTCTCATTGCTCATCCAGCACTACCGGCCAGGGACTCCCTTCCTTCCCTTGCTTTCTGCAGGGTGTTTCCTTCACGTCCTACTTGGAGAAAATACTTTCTTGTTTCTAGATCTATCGAGGTCAAATGCTAAGTTTAGCACCCCATCCCAAGAGGAAAAATTAATTCTTTTTTAATCATGAAAGTAATTATTAAAACGTCATTGCAAATAGAAGAAATTGGGCAACATGGCAAGGTATAGACAAGCAGTAATCCTATTTAACTAGTCCAGGGGATGAACACAGGTGTTATTCCACTGGGCGGTTACAGCTTTCCAAGGGCCACGCAGCCAGCTGACTGCCACGGCTGTCCCCACCTTCCTCCCTGCGGTCAGGCCTGCCTCCCCAGCCTGCTCCTTCCTCCATTCTGTGGCTTTGCTGGTGGGATCTAATGCTCTGTTTTTGCCCCTGCCTTGCCCTCTGCCTATCCAACTCTAACTTGAAAACCCCAGGTCAAGTCCCTCCTGCAGGCTGGATTTTCCACACCTTCCCGACACACACAAAACGCGCCGCGTCTCACAGTCCAACCACTTAACCGTCTCCTGCAGCTCCCACCTGGAGTCCATACTGCCAGGGAGCTGGAATTTTGCCCTCCACTTTCTCAGAGCCTACTGACACAGTCTTGACGCATCTGGCTAATAACGACATGCTATTGAAATAAAAAATTAGATCACCCATCCGTGCTAATTAAAGAAATAATTAAGGGGGCTTCCTTTTAATGTAGTGAAAGATCTCAGTCAATCCTTAAAGACTGACCCTAGGACTACAGTTTGCATGGATAGTCTGAAAATATTTTAAATCTCCTCCCCAAAATCTTCCCTGATCCCAGAGATGCTATGAAATTCGGATGCCAATGAAGGCAGGGACTTCCTCAGAGAGAACTCTGGTCCTAGCACCAAGTTGCTGGGGTCCTGGGGCATTATTTATTCCCTGCTTACTAAACTCTCCACCTTCTGTAATCACTCCATCAAATTTACACAATCTGCAGAGATGATACCCCGTAAATCAGAGCTCAATTGGCCTGGCATTGCTCAAGTGCCCGGATGATGGATGCCCTTCAGCTCTGTCTTGGTGCAGAACACTTTGACTGATTAGACAAAGGTTTGGATTCAGCCGAGGGCTATGAGAGTCTCCGTGGCATCAGGAAACAGTGTCTGAAGCCTCCAAGCAGGAGTTCATGTTAAGTGGAAACAGCAGGGGCAGCCGTCCAGCCTAGTGGTCAAGATGCTCACAGCCCACATCCGAACACCTGGGTTTGATGCCTAACTCTGACTCCTGCTTCCTGCTACGTGGGCCCTGGGAGGCAGTAGTGATGGTCCAAGTAATTGGGTCCCTCTGCCCAAAGGGGAGACCTGGATTGAGCTCTTGGTTCGTGGGTTCAACTGGCCCAGCCCCAGCTGACATTTGGGGAGTGAACTGTCAGATGGGAGTTCTCTCTCTGCCTCTCAAAAATTAAGCAAACAAAAAAGTACCAGTTAAATAAAAAAGAGAAAAAGAAAGAAAGAGCCAACGGCAGTGACTGGGAGGGAGGCACAGTCGTATCCTGTTTTCAGACCCACAGGTGTTAGTGTGGCTTTGTAAACTGCTAACCCACAGGAATCCAGATTCGTGCTCACCTCTCGTCGCATTTGATCAGAATCACGCTGTCTGTTCCAATCCCTAAGGCTGCAGCTCCCTTCTTCAGAGAAAAATGACTCTATTGGGGGAAAAAAAAAAAAGAGCATATTTTTAATTAGTTCCATACAAAGAAAAGATCCATTCCATCCGCAGGTTTTATTTTTTTCCTGGTTATGTTTCCAACGCCTGCTGATGGCATCCTTCACTTAACGCTTTTTAAAGGCACTGTGGTAAATACATGTGACCTCCAGTGGACATTCCGGTGGCCATAAGTGCATGCACACTGTTGTGCAACTGTCACCACCATCCATCTGGACAACTCCTGTTCCTTGTGCAAAACGGAAACTCTGCACCCACTAACGAAGGTCTCATTCTCCTCTCCCCACAGTCCCTGCACCCCCCGTTCTACTTCTGTCTCTGCATTTCCGGCTGCTCTTGGTTCCTCATATGGGTGGAATCACACAGCATTTGTCTGTGACTGGCTTATTTTCTTAGCCATGCTTCAGCAGGTGTCAGAAACCTCTTTCCCCTTTAAGGCTGCATAATATTCCACCAGGTAGCGCAGACCTTGCTTTTCCGTCCATCTCTCCATGAACACGTGGACTGAATCTACCTTTTGGTGACTGTCAGTAAGACTGTTATGAACATGGGGTACAATTACTCCTTCAAGACTGTGCTGTCAAATGTGTTGGGAAGAGATCTAAAAGTGAGCTTGCTGGATCAAATATTTGATAATTCTCCTTTTTAATATTTTGAGGAACTGCCATAACTTCTTTCCATAACTGCTGTTCCATTTTCCCTTCCCACCAGCAGTGAGGCCCAAGGGTCCCAGTTTCTCTACATGCTCACTATCACTCATTATTATTTTTATGGGCATGAGGCCGTATCACATTGTGACATTGATTTGCATTTCTCTAATGATAAATACCTCTTGGCCATTGGCATATGTATTTAGACAAATGTGTATTCAAGTCCTTTGCCTATTTTGAAAGTGTTTTTGTTGTTATTGTTGTTATTGTTATTATCATTGTTGACTTATTTGGGCTTCTTGAGATAATAAGATGCTGAAAATAATAAATGGACCTGAAACCTCAGTACACAGTAACTCCAAGCCAATTTTACATACAGGGGACTTCAAAAATTTCATGGAAAATACCTATTATAAAAATGCCTGGTACAGGCCAGGCTCAGGATGGGGGATGTAGTACTGGCTGGGCAGAACAGCCTCTCTGTGTGTGTGTGTATATATGGGTGTGTGTGTGTGTATGTGTGCGTGTGTGTGTGTTTGTTGGGAAGTCGGGGAGGCGGAAGCACAGGCTATGGCCACAAGCCCCTGCCTGATCTTTGTGCTTTTGGTTATTGACTCCAGGTAGGGTTCTGGCCCTCAGTGGCTGTAATCATCATGCCATTCGGAAAGCTGAGAGAGGCTAACCCCAGCCCAGCTGTACTGCATGTGCCCATCTGTACCTCATCATTAACTACAGACCATTAAACCACCCAAAAGGAACACAGCTTCCTGAGCTGACATCTCTAAAGAGCTGCTGCCTGGACTTTTACATGACGGTTCCAAAGAGTGTCCCCTCCGAAGGCCACCTTTGGCTCATCGAAATTCTCAAATCAGCCACACAGGAACTCTTAACAGGCATATTTTTAGGGAGTATGTCTACCAAGTAGGAAGAGATCACATTTAGAACAGCAGCAAATAATGCTCACCCATAAAGAAGACACCAAATAGTGGAGCTTAAAAATCCCAGCATAATGAGATGTAGTGAGAAAAGGCCATTAGCCTCATTTTTACACCCGCGGGATAACAAGGTGGACAGTCATTACCAAGATACCCAGGAGCTGGGAGAGGAAGCCGAATTGGGTCCGAGTGGGAAAGATGCACATTTCCTCCACCAAATTAAAAAAAAAAGTTTTGTATTTATTGGAACATTAAGCCTTTGACTATAAAGTAAATTAAAAAGATGTTATTGTAAACAATTTATAAAATGGGGGCTGGCATTGTGGAGCAGGAGATTAAGCCACCGCCTGTGATCCCAGCATCCCATATGGGTACCTGTTAGAGTCCCTGCTCCTCCACTTCTGACCTAGCTCTCTGCTAACGGCCTGGGAAAGCAGCAGAAATGGACCAATGGACCCAAGTGGCAGACCTGGGAGAAGCTCCTGGCTCCTGGCTTTGACCTGGACCAGCCCTGGCAGTTGAGGCCACTTGGGGAGTGAATCAGTGGTGGATGGAAGCTCTTGTTCTCTCTGTCTCTCCCTTCCTCTGTAACTCTACCTTTCAAATAAATAAATAAATAAATAAATCTTTAAAAAGAAATTTGAAAAGAAAGGAAGGAAGGGAGGTACGATTGTATTCTTATGTCTATGAATTACATTAACCCTGTTCTCTTTGTATTGATTTTAAAAATGTAAATAAAACAAAGTGTTCTCTTTTTCATGTCTGGCAGTGCCCAGGATGACCCTGAAGAGAAGGCGCCCCTCAAAGCTCAAAGCCAAGAAGGCACAGAACAGGGCAGCCAGCTGCCCTCACTGAGCCAGCACGAGCTATGCAAATTCTGCCCCTTGGTAATTAAGCTTAGAGCGGCAACCTGCGAAATGGCAAACTGGGGCTAAGAAAGAGATCTGGTAGACCTGGTCAAAGAGAGGACACATTCTTGTCCAGATTTAATGAGAACGAATAGGGATTCTTAAATGAGGAACAAGTACCCAGGGTACCTGATCACTCTACCCAATGCCTCCTAGTTAAAGCAAAACACAAGCCCAGATAGAACAAAGGGCAACAAAGGTGAGATGAGGCATGCAGAAGAAAATTAGGGAGCGAACAGTGAAGCTGCTTATACATTCAGGAGAGGGAGCAGGGGAATAGCAAAAATGATAACCACAAGTCACGGGGGAGCCACGGAGAGGAAGGACATTGAGAGACATTCCCTAAGGAGGAAGAAACAGGAGGCCACCTTAAATGGGCTCACTCTCTCTGTGCTGGGGAGACACTGTGGAGGATCATTTTACCACTTGGCACCAGAGTAAGACAACCACTTGTTGATGAACAAGAGACGAGGAATACCCCGGAAGCTTGGAAGCATGGCAGGCAGGTGTCTCAGAACTCAGAGCAGGTTTGGCTGCGAGCAGAGGGCATTAGCAATGTGTGGCAAGCATGGGCTCCCTATCTCAAGGGCTGTGCCAAGGCCGGGACAGGGACAGACTACTCTGGGTGGCTCAGAAGGCAAAGCCATGAACAAAAATTGGAAGCCACAAGGATTCCTATGTGTCCCCAATGAAATCAAGACTCTTGGCAATCCGTTGTTTGTCCATAGAATGGATGAGGAATGAGCGGATGGGCACACCTCTCTCCCTGTCTCTGATTTGGGAAAAGTAACAAGGGACCCTTGACAGAATCTAGTGCTTATTTAAGACCAAATAGTATTTCCATTGAGAATAACAGGAGGTTTTGTAGAGAATGGATTTAAAAGCTAAGTTTGCATTGCAAAAGAATCTGAAACCCACATACAAAGGACCTTCAAAAAGTTCCTGGGGAGAGGTGTTTGGCACTGTGGTTAAGTTGTGGCTTGGGACACCTGCGTCCCATTTTACTGTGCCTGGGTTCAAGTTCCGTTTCTGCTTCTGATCCAGCTACTGCGAAAGCACAGTGATGATGACTCAAGTATTTGGGTGCCTGACACTCATGTGGGAGACTCACAAGGAGCTCCTGGCTCCTAGATTCATCCTGGCCCAGCCTTGGCTGTTGTGGGCATTTGGAAACTGAACCAGTGGATGGAAGATCGATGTGTGTGTGTGTGTGTGTTTCAAATAAACAATTTAAAAAGCTTTTGAAGTTTATGGAAATCCTATAATGAACAAAGTGTTAGGTAGGAAGTTAGCGATTAGCCTATGTGCGTGTAAGGCCCTGAGGAAAACAAGTTGCTTTGGTCCCTGCCATTCCCACATGGGTTTGCCTCCTCCGAACCCCCCTATTTGCAGGAAATAGCAGCTCCAGCGGCCATGGAAAGGGTGACACCCCTCTTCCTGCTTCTGGTCACCCACAGGCCTGGAAGAACACGCTGTTTTCTACAATGTCCGATTCGCGTCCTTGCTCTGTGAGACCGCCTCATTGTGACCGCTGGTTTGTGCGGCTCTGTGTGATTCCGAGGTGACTGGCCTCCCTCTGCACACCACCTCCATCCTAGCCAGCAGTTTAAAGTCACCCCACTGTGGCTAAGCACATGTGGAAAGACAGGAAAGATGGAGAGCAGGATTCCGTTTCCCAGGAAGAGAGATCCAAGGATGATATTTGATGACAAAGGTGAACCTCAGTACTGGCACGTATCCAGTCCTTGGGAGCACTCAGCGGACAACAATTATTTACATGACTGGAGGGTCCTGTGCAAAGGGAAGAAGCACCCTGAAGGCTGTGTGTGACACCCGCTTAGAAGATAGATTGAGATAGCCGGCGCCGTGGCTCACTAGGCTAATCCTCCACCTTGCGGCGCTGGCACACTGGGTTCTAGTCCCGGTCGGGGCGCCGGATTCTGTCCCGGTTGCCCCTCTTCCAGGCCAGCTCTCTGCTGTGGCCAGGGAGTGCAGTGGAGGATGGCCCAGGTGCTTGGGCCCTGCACCCCATGGGAGACCAGGAAAAGCACCTGGATCCTGGCTCCTGCCATCGGATCAGCGCGGTGCGCCGGCTGCAGCGGCGGCCATTGGAGGGTGATCCAACGGCAAAGGAAGACCTTTCTCTCTCTGTCTCTCTCTCTCACTGTCCACTCTGTCTGTCAAAAAATAAAAAAAAAATAAAAAAAAAAAAGAAGATAGATTGAGATGAGTTTCTTTCTTGTTCTGAGTCATTGCTTGCTGAATTGCAATGATAAACCCCTCTTTTGGCAGAATTGGTGGGAGAAGTGTAGACATCGTGTGTGAAGTGCCTGCGGACCACCTGGCACTCACAGGTGCCCACACAGGTGTACCCCTTCTGATTCTCCCCTCCTCCTGCCTAATGTGATACCATCCGCAGGGCGTGTCTCCATCTCTAGTCAGTTCCAAAGCTGGTAGACTTTATCTACCAACCTGATGAAAATAAGT